ATTCAAAATTTGTCTCGTTGGGCTTAAAAAGGTGCAACATTCTCTACCCTTAACCCTCAACAAGAAAGTGAGAGATCCCTCTCCCTGGATGGTCAGAAGTGCGAGAGATGTCATGTGTAGACGAGCCTGTCAACAGAAAATAATATTTACACCATTGATGAGAAAAGACAATGTCCGACATAAATGTAGAGGCGTATCAATGTTTTGCATATTAAAACAAAAGAGAAAGTCTGACAGAGATGAAGGAAGCAGCAGTGACAGTTGTAATGATAACGATATTGCCAATAATGGTAGTATACGTGAGTAGGCCTAGTGTAGATCAAAGCAATCTAGTTGTAATCATGATCCACGATCAGCTAAAATGAAGGGCGGCTGTGGCTGAAGAGCAGAGCAAAAAAGGTCAGCAGTTCAAGCCCAGTCTTCCCCATCTGCAAGCCAAAGTGCTATTTACAAACCATTTACCATTTAATCCACAAGCTTTCCTGGAATATAAGTCAAATCAGTTAAATGTAATGATGAGACATTAATGTGATCAAGAGGAAAGAGAAGCTCCATGTTTCATGCATCCCCCAACAACTCAGGTCTATAGCAGTATAACTAAGAACTGGTTCAAGGCAGACCTCGGCTCTGGCTGAGGAGTAGAGTGGTCATCGTCCAACCATAAGGTCACCAGCTCAATCCCCTGGTCTTCCCCATCTGCATGCCAAAGTGTCCTTGGGCAAGATGCTGAACCCCAAATTGCCCCTCATAGAACAAAAAAAGTGCTGCGAATAGATGCACTGTATGGAAATGAGATCTACAGATGCCACTGCAGCTTTGAACCCAGTACGTTTTTAGTTCTGCTCCCAACCAGGCCCAACATTTCTGTGCTTGTACCCAATCTGTCTAAACAAATATACAGAACAATTACGGTCTCATTTGCAATGTGTTCTGCCTAGAAAGCGTCACAACAATAAATTATAATCAATAAATACCTTGAACAATGTTTCAATTTATAAATAGATACAATTATTCACAAATCAGTGTCTTCTATTTCCATTTCAAAAACACTCAAACACCATAAATAACATCCTGCAAACTGTATAAAGCTCTAAAAAGGTTCAGAACTTAGTGGTGAATTTGCATGTAGCAGCTGAACACCCCTCACCTTACCATCCCCTTACCCTCTCCTTCCAAACATAAAAAAAAAACGTGGTAGCCTCAAATTTTTATGTAAACTCAAAAGGTGTTAAGTTTGTCCAGTCTGGACGACTGTAAAAAAACATGGTGGCCTCCCTAGCAAGGACCCCCTCCTGATGTTTAGATAAAGTATTTCAATATAAAGGGGAAATTCTAGGGTAAAGAAGCAACAATTTAGATGAAACAAACTATTGAGAACATTGCTAGGATTAATTTATATAACATTTCTGCCACCTTCCACCTTTAATGCTGGTTGAATTCTGAACTAGAAGGCATAGTTAGTACTTGCCAGGCTCCATCCCTCCTGAAGACTCAGCTTTACACAATCCGTCCACACATAGTTGTGCATTCTTCTCCATTAAGCCTAGAAGAGAAGAATTATGATGTTGGGAATCGTGAGCTCTGGGCTATAAAGATGGTGTTGGATGAGTGGCATCATTGGCTGGAGGGCACAGAGTAGCTGTTGGTCTGGATCAACCATAAGAACCTGGAATATGTGTCACGGCTTGTGTGTCCTCCAGACTCTTAGTTTCTTCCACCGGTGCCCAGAAGTCCTCGCAGTGCTCTCCAGTCGGCCTCCTGCATCTGCTGCCCGTACCCCGGTGCTGTGTTAACAAAATCAACATAGCCCATACCTAAGCAAACCAACAAAGGCATACTAGCCAATCAGAGGCAATGTAAGGTATAGGTCATGCTTGCTATGGTAAATGGTCTCTATTTATATAAAGCTTTTCTAGTCTTGATGACAACTCAAAGTGATTATAGTTCATCTTTGTAATCCATCCATTCACATATACATTCATACAGTGTGTCTAAGGGCTGAGTCGTCAGGGCAATTTCTTCAGCATGTGGAATGGGAAAACTTGGATCCGCTCTATCCCCGGAACCCCAGCCTCGCTATCTGAAAAAAATTGGCCATGCATATGCCATATATGCCATGCTGACCCCACAATTTATAAGAACACCAGTTCTCTGCCATCACTGTACAACCTCATGGTAGTTATGCTTTGGCCGACCTTTGAACCATTGTTGCTTGATGTTATTTCACTGCTCACCTGTATTTAACCTGTTGTTTCTTAAGCTAAAGCTCAGGATCACCTGTTGCTCGCTGTTTGCCAGCCACTGGGCCACTGAGCAATACAATCCCTCAGGTTCATTTTACATGCAGAGCCTTTGTTGACGAGCACATCTCTTGATGAGTCCCTGAGTATCTTCAGAGACACTGAGTGGACTGGTTATATTTGACAGTGAGAGAGACACTGAATGGACTGGTTATGTTTTACAGTGAGACAGACACTGAGTGGACTGGTTATATTTTACAGTGAGACAGAGACACTGAGTGGACTGGTTATTTTTTACAGTGAGACAGAGACACTGAGTGGACTGGTTATATTTGACAAAGACACTGAGTGGACTGGTTATATTTGACAGAGACACTGAGTGGACTGGTTATATTTTACAGTGAGACAGACACTGAGTGGACTGGTTATTTTTTACAGTGAGACAGAGACACTGAGTGGACTGGTTATTTTTTACAGTGAGACAGAGGCACTGAGTGGACTGGTT